GTGGTGGGATAGCAGGGGCCACGGTGCAGATCTGGAATACCTGCAGCAATGGGAAACCTTCATCTGCTGTATCGCTGATGGTGCCACAACAGAAAATGCTGCAGCTCACACAGAACACACCCCTCATAAATATGACTGTTTGCAAGATAGAAACAAGCCATTCTGTAATCACTTATTTACTTTTTACACTGAAGAGAAACATGGGAAGGTTTGGAGCTGATGCCATCGTTGATGTCATTCACATCTGGGCACGAGCCAAGAGCAGAATCCCGCCAGATCAGAATCCTCCATTCACTCTCCTGCCATTTCACACAGATGGAAAATGCTGCACTGGGGGAATCAGGCTTGCAGCAGTGAGGAAAAATACCTTTTTCCACCTGGATTTTATTGATCTGAGCTCTTCTGGTTGCTGTATTAATTACTCTGCATGTTTATTCCTTACAAACTTACACCCTAGAAATCCTGCTTGTGATAACCCAGCAATAAACACWTGACAACATTTTTATCACTGTTACCCCTTCTGTACGGCAATGAAATTAAAAAGAAAACCAGCTGCAACTATGAGCAATTAGTTTCACAATAAACTTAGTGTCAGGCATTAAGAAACTCACAGAAAAATGGCAGAAAGTCTGCTACGAGGAAAATAAATCCTCCAATCTGTGATTACAGCGGTGAACACTGCAAGTGAAAGATACTTTTACAAGGTATTAGGTGCTGGTGGGATCTTCACTGAGAGACCTTATCCTGCTTCTCTCCCAGCCAGGATAAGCCTAWTGCTGAGCTATTTAATGCTACTTGATTTTCCATCAGAGCTCCACAGTCCACTCTGAGCAGCTCCATCGCTGCCAAGGTGTCTTAGYCAGTCACTGACAARTGATCCAATGGCAGAAATTAAAATYAGAGGAAGTTCCCTGCAGTGTTTCAGAAAATCAGGAGCACTAATGGAAATGTAGCCCTGAAGAAAATGGTACAGGGTGGTTTAAAACAAAATAAAAGTTTGAATCATTTTTACTAAACTCTGTTTCCCCAAACTAAG